TTTGTGTTTGCCTGTTTTCGTAATTGGATCAGAGATTTATTCTGTTTCGTAGACTTTGGACTCATTACCAACATTCATAAAGGACAAATGCACAAGAACGGTATCGTTGCCAAACACTTCCAAATGTAATGCTTTGCATAGAAAATAATGCCCCGAATGTCTGGGAATCTTAGCATCGAGGCTGTAGTGAGCTTGAGAATTAGTGAATGAGGGAATTAATGTTCCTTGGAATTATGCAAAGCTTGCTTCGAATATCTTTACATTCCTAGGCCCAGAATTTCCTCTATCTTATTTAAACCAGTTTCTGCGCTGACCTAGTTGAGGGGTTTGTGTCTAAGTTCCCTGCAGTGTGGAACATAAAAACCAGTGGAAAGTGAATGTAGCTGCTGTGCTGGCCGTGGGCAGATCAGAGGAACCCTGTAGAGCAGAGTTTTCCAAAACAGAGGTCGGGACCCCAAGTGAGGTTGCAGAGCTGGAATCCTGGGGTCGCAGGCTCTGAGGCATCAATAGTTGCCATGGAGCTCTGCCCAAGTTATGATAGCTCTCGTGCCACTCTCTAACAGGCCCCAGCTCTCAGCACTCCCCAGTTCTCACTGAAGGCTCAGGACAGTCTACCAGTCTTGAGGGATGGAGTCACAGCGGGAAAGGGTTAGGGAGGCACTGTCGCAGAGCAGTATAAAATGTACAAGGTAATGCCCTTCGACCAGGGCATGTTGCTAAATGTATAATTCTCTTTATTAACTTTAAATTTCCTTACCTGATCTGGATGGAATTTGACAGAGACAGCAGGGGTCAAACCACGTGGCTGGAGAACTGCTGAGGGTCCCCATGCCACCCTTATTCTGGAAATCCTGGTATGTTAACAGCTGGTTAAACATTTAACCAGACAGCAGTAGGTCCTCTCAGGATCAAGGACCTCAAGAGTGAAGATCCAGCTCCCCCTACGCGCCCCGCCCATTGCCGTTTTCTCTTGCAGTGCAGTGACACCAGGTCATGGATGCTACAGCAATGCAGCCTCCCTGTGTCCAGGTTCACCAAGAATCCCCAGGCCACAGGTGAACAATAGTGGGAGGAGGTGGATTGGATGTAGTCAAGGTGGAGGGAGAGAAGGCAGAAGAATAGGTAGATGCTTTCTTAATTACCAAGGGGTTGAAAGACTGTTGAAGGAATGCAGGAATGTAAAATTGCGGTTAAAATTAGGTTGGCCATCATTTTATTGAATGACAGATCAGACCTAGAAGGGCCAAGCGGCCCCTTTTTTAAAATTTATTCATGGGACAAATGATGACTGGCTAGGCCAACATTCATTGCCCATCCTTCTGGGCAGTTAAGCGGCAACCACATTGCTGTGGTTCTGGGGTCACATGTAGGCCAGACCAGGTAAGGATGGCAGTTTCCTTCCCTAAAGGACATTAGTGAACTGGATGGGATTTTCTGACAATTGATTCATGGTCATCATTAGACTCTTGATTCCAGATTTTTATTGAATTCGTATTCCGCCATCTGCCACAGAAGGATTCAAACCTGAGATAAAAAGGTGTAGAGTTGGATGAACACAGCATTCAAACCTGTGTCCCCAAAGCATTACTTGGGTCTCTGGATTAATAGGGATAATGCTACAAGGCCATCGCCTCCCCTCTTGTTGTTTGTATGTTTGTAGAGACTAGCAGAGGCAATACCAGCGATGCTGTGTCTCTCTGTCAGGCACAGCATGGTGACTTAGAATGAGGATTCTGACCTCCACCTCTTCTCCAAGGGACCACACCCTGTTTGCTGTTTGAGTTTTCCCCAGAGCAAGCTCCTGCCCCACTACTGGTGAACACTGTACCAATGACACTGGAGTGAGGGAGGTGGTAGCCTTGTGGTATTATCACTAGACTGTTAAGCCAGAGACCCAGATAATATTCTGGGGACCCAGGTTCAAATCCTGCCACAACAGCTGGTGGAATTTGAATTCTATAAATATCTGGAATTAAGGATGACTATGAATCCATTGCTGATTGTCAAGGGGAAAAACCCATCCTTTAGGGAAGGAAACTGTCAGCCTTACCTGGTCTGGCCTACATGTGACTGCAGACCCATAGCAATGTGGTTAGCTGCCCTCTGGGTAATTAGGGATGGGCAATAAATGCTGCCTAGTCATTGATGCCCTCATCCTCTGAATGAATAAAGGAAAAAAAAGGCCATTAATTAATGAGAAATCCTACCAAAGGGTCAGGCAAAAGGCTGACATATGTGTAAAGATGATTATAATTCTTCTGGACTGTGGCAGATTTAAGCTACTGATTTTAAGTTGCAGTACCAATCTGTGCAAATCCAGACACTTAATTATACTGCTCAAAGGGTTCTACCTAAGCCTTTGATCCAGTACATTTTATTATTTCACTGCAACAATTGTGTTACAGGACAATCTTTATATTTTTTTCTGCTTTGCTGCCATTAGTACCTTTGGGAATTAATTAAATGACAGAGACACAATGTAGTCTGACAATGAAATTTCTCGTGCACAAACTCCGTTTCATGATGTTTCCAGCAGAATTTTGCTGTTGTCTTGGTAACTTGAAGCAAGATAGGGGTGGCTGTGTTGGCATTGTTCATGCTGTTTGTAATGAACATAAAACTAACTCATTTAATTGCGCAGTCGTTATTTGATGCAGCCAGGAATTAAATCGATTTCATAAATAATGGATCATACTGTCATCTGCTTTGAGATGTGGGAGAGAAGTTTTAGGTAAGTAGATTTTTTTTTACATCAGCCTGTTTGGGTATGTTTTGATATACCTTGAGAGGAGATGGGACTTGAACCTGGGTCCCTATGCCTAGAGACAGGGACATTGTGACTGTGCCACAGGAGCCCCAGTTTTAGATTAGTGTTGAATGATCACATTAACTTTCAGCCACTTCTCTGCAATGAGAAAGTATCCTTTTTACTTACTTATTGAAAGGTGAATTTAACATCTCTCGTTGCCTCAAATACTTTGCTGCATTAATGTGAATGTAGGAGAATACTACAGAAGTTATCAACTGTCCCTCAATTTAAGGACGCTGTTTACTCAGGGACGAGTTCCTGCCATGTCTTTTCAGGTGCTAGTTCTGACCTGTATATCTTCGAACACAAAGGGGCAGAATGTCCCAGGATTTAGGGGGATCTGGAGCGCAGAATTTGATTCCTTTTCGTTTCTTTTCCCCTATTGATCTGCCTCATCATTAAAATGCCGTGACTTAAAACCTGATGCAGCTGGCCATACAAGTCGCTGCTGTTTCGAACAATGAGCCAGTGACCTGCTCCCAATCATTAATGTCAATGCTGCAGTGCATTAAGGAGGGCTTTATTGTACCTTTGAAGTGTTTTCTTTGCCCTTTCCCAGAACACAGGTCATTTCAGAGTCGGGAAAACAGGATCTGACGGGGAGAGATTTTTTTTTTGGCCTTCAGAACGCAGCATTTAGGCTATCAAAGTGGATTTTGCAGTTTGGCCTGAATGTTTATGGAGCTAGCTTCAACAAAGACACCAGCTTTTGTTCAACAGCCCTCTCATTAAGTCTAGAGAATATGGCAGAGGCATTGCTCATGGAATTTCTCTAATGCCCTTCCAAATCACTAATATACAGTCCACGTCTTGTTGCAGTATAGTGTGGGGCATCTGTTCATCACAGTGTGACTTCTTTTGACTTACGAAGGTCTTTTCTGTCAAAAACACTGACTGCTGTGACTGTAGGAAGCTGAGCTGATCCCATCTTGGATCTCCTTGTTAATGGTGGCCTTTTAGAACATCAAAGTATGAGAACTAGGAATGAGAGCAGGCAACTCAGCCTCTTGATGTCTTCCCTCCAATATTTCCAGAGGGGCACGGTGGCTCAGAGGTTAGCACTGCTGCCCCACAGTGCCAGGTATACTCTGGATTGATTCCACGTTCGGGCAACTGTCTGTGTGGAGTTTGCACATTTTCCCTGTGTCTGCGTGGGTTTCCTCCAGGTGCTCCAGCTTCCTCCCACAGTCCAAAGATGTGCAGGTTGGTTGGATTGGCCGTGGGAAATTGCCCACAGTGTCCAGGGTTGTGTAACCATGTGAAATGCAGGATTACGGGGATGAGTTTGGGCTGTGGTGGGTCTGGATGGGATGCTCCTTGCAGAGGTGGTGTGGAATTGATGGGCCAAATAGTCTGCTTTTGCACTGTAGGGATTCTCTGATTCCATGACTGCATTTGCTGTCTTAACCATACAGTGGCCGAGGTGATTAAATTGGAATCGATAAACTTTGGGCAGGAGCCCCTTCTTTACCTGTCGTTTGGCAAGACACAGAACAGGGAAACATCCTTCGCTCCTCAAGCCAACTCTATCACTCAGTGAATCAAACCTGATCCATTTGGCCTCCTTTGTTCCCTATCCCTTAATACTGTCACCAAAGAAAATGCTTAAACCCTGAAAACTGAATTTTTGATGAAATTATTATTGCTTTGAACTCATAGAATCCCTACAGTGTGGAAACAGGCCCTTTGGCCCAACAAGTCCCCACTGACCCTCAGAACATCTCACCCAGATCCATCCCCCTATAACCCACCAAATCTACACATCCCTGAACACTATGGGCAATTTAGCATGGCCAATCCACCCTAACCTGCCCATCTTTGGACTGTGGGAGGAAACCCACACAGACACAGGGAGAATGAGCAAACCCCACACAGACAGTCACCCGACGTTGGAAACAAACCGGGGTCCCTGGCGCTGTGAGGCAGCAGTGCTAACCATTGAGCCACCGTGCTGCTGCACTTTGGGACCAGTACGTAAAAGTACGATAACCGCAGAGTGAAAGTGACGTTTTGTGCAGTTGCTTTACTTTGCTAATCCAGAATCCTTTCACGTGATTTGCAGAGGGAGCCTGGATCCATGTCCTTTAAGGATGGTCCTGTCATGCACCATAAAATGGGTGAGATCTCACCGTGACAGCTGGCAGCTAATTGAGTGATAATTGAACTTCAGTCGATTGTTTTGTTTCTACAGTGGTCATCTCGAAGAATCTATCCGCGCCGTCAGAGGTGAATTCAGAGAAGCAGAGCATGCAGACGTCGGTGGACGTCATTTCAGAGCGACTTACCGTTCAGCGGGGCCGCAAGCCGAGGAGGAAGAAAAGCCGCATGGTCCAGCCACCCTGTGTGCACAAACCCGAAATGCAGCACCCTGTCCCCTCGCTCACCAAACCAGTGGAACCATTAAAAATCCCAAAGAAGAGAGGCCCAAAGCCTGGGAGCAAGGTAGCAGCTCATTTTCAGAGTGACAGCTGGCCTGCCACTCAATGTTTCCATTCTGAATGCAACAGTTATTTCATTTGAAGACAAAAAATGCTGGAAATTGCAGCAGATCAGGCAGCATCCATGGATGCATCCATCACTACAGATTCCCGCATCTGCAGTACTTTGCTCCTAGATACTTAATTTGATAGTTTTTATTTTAAACCATGAAGCTGTCCTCTCCCTTCATACCACTGCCTCAGGCATAGCTACTTCTAATGCTAAGTAGCCTCATGGAGTAGGTTGTGGCATTTAGGATTGATATTGATTGGTATTGTTCATTCTTCAAGTACAAAGACACACATTTAACTTCACTGTGCTATTGTCACCCAAGAATCTCTGTTACAGTTACAAATTATAGGAACTGGTATCTGGGCAGATAATTGCAGTCTGTAAGTGTGGGAGAAATTCCTAATCATAATCTTTAATCATTAAAATGCGTTTTGAATGCATCTTCTTACATACAATGTCCAATATATTTAAATATATGTGCGTTTTAAAATTGCATAATTCCAGCACTTTTAAGGGTTGCTAGAGACTTTATTAAACCGTTTGAAGTTTACTAACTTTTTTTTCGTCCTGATAGCGAAGCAATTCTATAGCAGCCCAATTTGCTTGATCCCTAAATTGTTTTTCTCTTCTGTTAGCGGAAACCCCGTGCCCTACAGAATCCTGTGCCAACCTCCCCTACCTCGAGTACGCCAGAGCCAGACACGAGTACAGTTCCTCAAGATGCAGCCACTGTCCCCAGCACAGCCATTATGCAGTCGCCAACAGGTAAGCTGAGCACCTTGGGCGTTAAGCCAAACTGATTCTGAATGTAGGCAGTGCCGTTGGTTAAACCTGAATCTTCAAGATTACTAAAGTATTAATACCTAGTTACACTAGGAAGCTCAGATGGACAGAGCACTCTTGAATTGCTTCTCCACAGATCCCTGAAGGTGGGCAGGACAGGTAATAGGGTGGTTATGAAGATATACAAGACAAATATCAACGTGACATTGATTACGAGAGCAGAGAGGTGCCCATAATGGGTTTTGCTCGTAAATACTCAATTTGGATACATGGGTGTTTTACCTATTGGCGTTATTAATTTAAAGAAAACAGAGCCCTCATATTGGAGCTGTTCAAAACTTTGTTTAGGCCACAGCTGGAGTACTGTGTGCAGTTCTGACCACTGCCCTACAGGAAGGATTGATTGCATCGCAGAGGAGACTCACCAGGATGTTGCCTGGGATGGAGCATTTCAGCTGTTGGATAAACTTGGGTTGATTTCTTTGGAGCAGAGAAGGCTGAGAGGGGGACCTGATAAGAGATGTATAAGATGATTAGGGGCATGGACAGGGTAGATAGAAAGCAGCTGTTCCCCTTAAATGAAAGGAGCATAATGTTAAGGTCAGGATGTTTAGAGGGGATTTGAGGAAAGGTTCTTTTGCCCAGAGGATGGTCGGAGTCTGTAATCCCCTACCTGGGAGGGAAGTTGAGGCAGGAAGCCTCACGACCTTAAAAAGAACTGGGATGAGAACTTGAATTGTCATAACTTTCAAGGCTATGGGCCCAGTGCTGGAAGGTGGGATTAGTGTAGATAGGTCTCTGCAGACTCACAGGGCCAAAGGTCCTGTGCCCTATGGCTCTTTGACTCTGAAGTAAGGCAATTCCAGGTAAATCCTTGTTTGGTCTGACAAAACATTTTGCATGACCACACCAAGAGGCCTCGTTAATCGAAGTATGCTCGGGCGGTTTGATGATGCACATTGCTAACAAAGCACTTATCAGCGATGGTCCTCTCCTGTACTGCTTACCCATTTTGCCCGAAATGTGGTGAGCTTTGTATAGTATTGGTTGCTTATGACTTCTGCGTGGTATGGAATGTAATGATCTATTCTTCTGCATGTTTTGTGTACGTTCAGTCTGTGTTTACTTGAACAAAAATGGCAATTCAGGACCACACCTAGACAGAAAAAAGGTACAGCAACTTCCAGATCACTTTGGACCTGCTCGAGCTTCAGTTGTTCTGCAACAGGCTGTTCAAGCCTGCATAGATTGTGCGTACAACCAGAAAATGGTGTTCTCCTTCCTGAAACAAGGCCATGGTGGAGAGGTGATCTCTGGTAAGTGCATGACAACCCCCTAGTGTTGCCATTGAAAGCTGTGTTTCTGGCCGTTGCTGTTTTGACTCTAGATTCAACTCAATTCCCCTAAAATAGTCTGGAATGACAAGTTCTCATGGAATTGTAGTGAGGTGCTGTCCATTGGAGTAATCAGTATTGATTTGCACGTCATCACATAACAAGTGATCAATCGAGAGCTCAGCGTTTGGAATTTTGAAAGATATTTAATTTCAGATTTTTTTCATTTTGCACTGTTAGCACGGAACTCAAAGACCCCATATTTAAAACAAACTAACCATAAGTAAATTAACATACAGTTCTTCCACACACGTTGAAAACCTGTGGTTATTCCTGACTTTTTTTAAATTCACCCAAGGGATATGGGCATCTTTGGCTAGGCTACCATTTATTGCCCATCCCTAATTGCCCAGAAGGCAGTAAAGAGTCAACCGCATTGCTGTGGGTCTGGAGTCACACAAAGGCCAGACAAGGTAAGGAGGCAGATTTCCTTCCCTAAAGGACATTAGTGAACCAGATGGGTTTTTATGACACTCGACAATGGTTTTATGGTCATCTTTAGACTCTTAAATCCAGCTTCCTTACTGAATTCGAATTCCACCATCTGCAATGGCGGGATTTGAATCCAGGTCCCCAGAACATTAGCTGAGTTTCTAGATTAATAGTCTAGCGATAATACCGCTAGGCTGATAAATAGAATGTACCTTTTCCACAAGAACTATTAACCAATGCATTGCAATGTTCCCTCATTTAGGGAATTCTTTTTAATTTAATTTCTTTCTCTCTTTTATTTTTTGTTTGCTTTGTTCTGTTTCCTTAGCCACATTTGACTGTGAACAGCACACATTAAACCTGCCAGCAGTAAACAGTGTTGTCTACGCCCTGCGCTTTCTGGAGAAGCTGTGCCACAGTCTGCGGTGTGATAACCTCTTTGGGAATCAGCCTTTCAGTCAGATCAGTGCAGCTAATCACAACACAATGGAGTACGGAAGCGACCGGTTCATGCCAGGTACAACCTGCAAAAATGATACGTTCAGGACTTTCCCCAGCACTTTTTGATTTGAGTTTCTACCTGAACGTATTTGTGCAAGTGTTGGAAATGTGACGCCTTTTTATTTTGGCAAAAAAAACATTTTTGCAAGATCCTTTTTGATCAAAATTAAATGTTGGAAGAGAGGCAAAGATGAGCAGTCATTGTTTCCAGCATTAAGGTTGGTTCATTTGAAAATGCAGGGATCGAATTTGGAACCTTCTTGTTTCTTTTGCATAATTCCATACTATGCGCCCACAGAGGAAATGCTACAAGTCTGGGTTGGGATGCATGTGGCTCAGGAGACGCGGTGTGAATTTGTTGACTTCCCTCCTGAAGAGGAGGCTTCTCATTGAGTGAGATCTCATGGAAGAAAAGCCACAACAAAGCCAGCTTAATAAAAGCAAAACTCTGTGGATGCTGGAAACCTGAAATCGAAGCAGTAAGTGCTGGAGAAACTCAGGAGGTCAGGCACCATCTGTGGAAAGAACTAACACTCTGAGCCCAATTCTTTGGAACTGAAGAGAGGTGAAAATGTGCTGCGTTTGCCGTGGTTGGGGAGATTGTGTGGTAGGGCAGTCCAGCTCATGAAAAGGAAAGGTCCAGGGAACTGCATTGCACAGTTTTGGTAAATAGCTGCTCATCTTTCACCAGGCAAAAACGAATCATCAGAGGCAGCTGTTCAGGGCCCAGGAAGAGGGACAAAAAGATACACACAAGATTCCCCACCGTTCAGTGCACCTCTATCACCCAAACTACCAAAAACCGATCGACATCCTTCAGAAGGTGAGTTCTTGACCAACTTTACTGAGTAGCCAATGGTTTTTCTTTGGAAAACTGTTTTGGCTTAACTTGATAAATAATATTGTGTGAGGTTTCATGAAGGTAATTTTTCATGCAATTTTCCAGCTGAAACTTTTATATTGGAGGATGTGCACCCAGGTCCCATGGAACACCGGCTAGATCCCATGGATTCTGCCCTTAATTCAGTGAATTCGTCCAGCCTTCCGTGTAGGAATTCCAGGGATTTCCGAGCCTATCGATCTCTGCATCACTCAATGAGCCTAACGCAAAGTAATACAGGAACCTTGCGACAGCTTAGTTCTGGGGGTAAGATACTCTGTACAATTCCCCATGGCTCATTTCCGTACTTGCATTCTGAATTTAGCCTTTGGGAGGCTGGTGCATCTGTTTCCCACATCAGTGTACTTCAACTAATCAGTAGCAAAGCTGCATGTTTGTAATAGAATTGAATTGATGAGTTTCAATGGCTGAATAGGTTCATCCTAGGAACATCTGGAAACTCTTCTAATCAAGCTATCATAGATCACAGAATCCCTCCAGTGTGGAAGCAGGCCAGTCAGCCCATCGAGTCCACACTGACCCTCTGAAGAGCATCCCACCCAGACTCACCCGTCCTACCTTATCCCTGTAACCCTGCGTTTACCATGGCCAATCCACCTAGCCGGCACATCCTTGGACTGAGAGAGGAAACCGGAGCACCCAGAGGAAACCCACACCAGACACGGGGAGAATGTGCAAACTCCACACAGACAGTCGCCTGAGGAATTGAACCTGGGTTCCTGATGCTATGAGGCAGCAGTGCTAAACACTGAGCCACCATGCCACCTCACTTCTTATTAAAAGTTGTGTTCTGGAAAAGGTTCATGCAGACAATTTAAGCAACAATTACTTTGTAAGGATAAATACCCATGCTTGTCGTTGCCTCTGAGTTTTGACTGTGGCAGTGCCCTACTGATTGGTCTCACCCATTCCACACACAGGAAACTTGTCATCATCCAACTCTGTAGTGTCTGTGTCCTGACTCTCAACAAATCCTATTCAGTCACCATTCCCAGCCTCACTGGTTTCCGATTAGGCAAACCATGATTACAGAGCTTTCCTCCTTGTATTTTAATCCCTCCATGTCCCATCTCTTCCCTCCCAATCTCTGTTACCTCCAATAGCCGTACAACCCTCTGAGATATCTGAACTCTTCTTTGGCATCATAAATTGGTTACAGAAGATAGAAACATACAAAATACGAACAGGAGTAGGCTATTCAATATGATCATAGCTGATCACCCTACTCAGTACCCTGTTCCCTCTTTCTCCCTATATCCTTTGACCCCTAAGAACTATATCAAACACCTTCTTGAAAAAACTCCATGTTTTGGCCTCAACCCTTTTTCTGTGGTAATAAATTCCAGAGGCTCACTACTTTGTGGATGAGGAAATGTCTCCTCATCTCAGTCCTAAATGACCAACCCTGTATCCTTAGACTGTGACCCCTGGTTCTGGACTCCCCAGTCATTGGGAACATCTTCCTGTATTTGCCCTGTCTAAGTCTGTTATAATTTTATAGGTTTCTATGAGATACCTGCTCATTCTGCTAAACTCCAGTGAATGTATTTCTAACCGCACCAGTATTTCAGTCCTGCCATGCGAGGAATTAGTCTGATGAGACAGATGGAGGCCATCGTAAAGTCACTGGGGAGGCAACGGCCTAGTGGTATTATCGCTGGACTGTTAATCCAGAGAGCCAATAACATTCTGCGGACCTAGGTTCGAATCCCACCATGGCAGACAGTGGAATTTGAATTCAATAAAATATCTGGAATTAAGAATCTAATGATGACCATGAATCCATTGTTGATTGTTGGGAAAACCCACCTGGTTCACTAATGTCCTTTAGGGAAGGAAACTGCCATCCTTACCTGGTCTGGCCTACATGTGACTCCAGACCCACAGCAATGTGGTTGACTCTGAACTGCCCTCTGGGCAATTAGGGACGGACAGTAAATGCTGCCTAACCAGTGATGTCCTCATCCCGTTAATGAGTAAAGAAGGAAAAAAGAATTTGTCCCAACAATAAGACAGCTTTCCACTGCCTACTCAAGGGCAATTAGTGATGGGTAAGAAATGCTGACCTGGTCAGTAAAGCATATACCCTGTGAATGGATTCAAGTAGAAATAACTGTGCCATTTCACTGTAAGATCATCTCAGTGTGTCCCATTCCATTGCCTTTTCCTAGTGACTTTACAATTCTATTCACTTAAGGTAATTATCCTACTCCCTTTTGTCAGCCTCCACTATAGTCTCAGGCTAGATTCAGGCCACTCGCTGTACAAAAGAGGCTTTTCCTAATGTCACCTATTGTTTTTCTGCCTTCAATTGGTGTCCTCTGATTTCCCATATTTCTACCAACAATTGTTCCCAATATAGCTGTCCAGGTCCATCCTTAATACATCTATCAAATCTCCTATCCACTTTCTCCAATGAGATAAATCCTAGCTTCTCTAATCGACCAATTCCATCAGCTCTGGAGTCATTCTCATGAAGCTTTTTTGGACCCTCTCTAATACCTTCACATTCATCCTGAAGTGTGGTTCCCAGAACTAGACACAGAATTCCAGCTGTGGCTAAATTTGTGCTTATAAAGGTTCACCATTACTTCCTTGTTTATGTAGTCAATGGCCCTGATTTTTATTCCTGGGCTGCATTGGGCAGCCAGGAAAATGCCCAATTCCACAAATATGACTTTTGAAAACGGCTACCCATGCAACCCATTTTTCTGTCTGGGCGCTGGAGACTGGATTGGAAATTGGACTGGGTGCTCCAGGCAGAAAGAGCTGAAGAGGCTTCCAGTGCAAGGCAGACAGTCAGAAAGAGAAACAGAAATTGCTGGAGAAGCTCGGCAGGTCTAGCAGCATTTGCAGGGAGAGAAAAACAGAGTTAGTGTTTCGAGTCCAAGTTTTGAATTCAAAATCGAAGAAGAACGTAAAGGCTCAAATTGTATTTGAAATGTTAGCAGTATCTGTAGAGAGAAACAAAAACAAAGTTGCTGGAAAAGCTCAGCAGGTTTGGCAGCATCTGTGGGGGAGAAAACAGAGTTAACATTTTGGGTCCGGTGACCCTTCCTCAGAACCGAAGGGTCACCAAACCCGAAACGTTAACTCTGTTTTCTCCTCCACAGATGCTGCCAGACCTGCTGAACTTTTCCAGCAACTTTGTTTTTGTTCCTGATTTACAGCATCCGCAGTTCTTTTGGTTTTTATTTTTCTGTAGAGTGAAAGCAGAGTTAACGTTTCCAGTCCCCGGTGAAAACCTGCCTTTAGTCTCCAGCACTGTATCTATACATTCATATAAAACAATAAAATATAGGCAGTTCCTCTAGTCCCTATGCCTCATGTCTCCCTATTCCCCTCTACCCACACCCCACGGCTCCTCAAACACTCTATGCCACTTTAATGCCTGCATCCATCCACCTTCCTTTCCCTCTTCATCCTGCATGCCAACTCTCCTGCTTTTCCACAAGTACCCATGCACGAGAAAAAATAAAATTCTATTACTTAAAGTTCTATAATACAGGTGACACTTTATAAAGAAAAGCATTCTCATTTATAAAAGTACATGTCGACCATTCTTGATAAATTCGACAAGTCTCTGACAGGTTTGACATTTCTTGCAACCTTCATAAACAGGGTTCCAGGGCTTATGCGCCTTTTACACACAGCTAACAAATCCTAAAGGTTACCTGGGTCCGACTCCAAGGGTATCCTGGGGACCAAGTCTCCAAAGATACATCATCTCTGCTCAGGGCTACAGGAATAGGCAGGAACACAAGTTCCCCTCCAAGCCACTCGCATTAAACACTGGTCCAGCCAGCAAAGTCCACATCCCATGAAGAAATAAAACACAAAGCAATAGATTCTCTGAATGTGCTCCAGAAAGTGCTTTGCCATTGTGTTCACCTTTCCAAAGGGCTGATTTCTATCTAGATACAATAGAAGTGAAGTAAAAGTGCAGCAGCATTTCTACTGTGTTGCATTGGGATTCTTCATTGAAAATGTGTCATTTTCTGCAGAACGGTGGTGAGGAATTCCAAATCCCAGTTGCTTGTCATTTTGTGGTTGTTTCCTAGGTTCTGACAGGTTTATGGGAGCACGGGATCCACCTCGTTTGATCAGCAGAGATCCAACCAGCTGGACTGTAGAGGATGTGATGCAGTTTGTTCGTGATGCAGATCCACAGTCTCTGGGCCCTCACGCAGACCTGTTCCGAAAGCATGTATGTATACAGCGCTGTACTGGCTCTTGGCACTGGACAAGGGAGCCTCTTAAACAGTTGTATGGTTCAGGAAATTGACCGTCTCTGGTCTGCAAGCTTTCAACTCAAGCCAAATCATGCTTGAGCAAACACTAATATTGCAATAATAAAGCAAGTCAATTTTCAGAAGTGTCTTTGTTATTGAAGTTACCCATAACTATCAAAATAGCATTTTTAATTAAAAGTCTTTTAAGTTATGTTTCAATTCTCCCTAGACCTTTCATCCTTCCGCCCATTCTGATATTTTGATGTGCATTTTTATTTATATTTTTACCTCCCTACCTAATTTATGGTTCTCTTTTATTAAAAAGTACGAAATCCGATTAAAGCTTTTTGTCAAACCTTCCTGCTTCTTCCCGGTTTCCATGTTTAGAGAGGCAAGCAATTTATAGCAAAGAGCTTTGTTGTATCAATACCATATCAGTTAGTAATCAGATCAGTAAAGGGTAGTGTGTATCTGTCTCAAGTTGCACTTTTTTAAACAAGCTTGATGAAAGGAGCTTGATCCCAATCAGATAAATGTCTGTATGTTGCAATAAATGGAAAATCCAAAGGTTTAGTATTTCCCGGAGAACAATGAAGGTGAATTTTTCATGGGAATTATGGCTAAAGGCACTTACCTTTTGAAAAGGATTGTTTAAGTCTTTTTCTCATAGAATCCTTACAGTACGAAAAGAGGCCATTTGGCCCATTGAATCCACACCAACACTCCTAAGAGCATCCCACCCAGACCCCAACCCTATCCTTGTAACCGCTCATTTCCCATGGCTAACCCACCTAGTCTGCACATCCTTGGACACTATGGGCAATTTAGCGTGGCCAGTCCACCTAACCTGCCCATCTTTGGGCTGTGGAACGAAACCAGAGCACCTGGAAGAAGCCCACACAGACACGGGTAAAACATGCCAACTCCACACAGACAGTCGCCCAACACTGGAATCGAACCTGGGTCCCTAGTGCTGTGACGCAGCAGTGCAAATCACTGAGCCACTGTGCTGCCTAAAAGGACCCAAGTTAGGTCCAGTGAGTGGAGTCCACTTCCCATGAAGGAATAAAAAAAATCACTGGATTCTTTGGGTGTGTTCCAGGAAATGGGACCCAAGTGTGCTTAACCCTCCTGGAAACTTTGTTTATGACCAGCCTGTTTTATAGAATTACTTGGCATTCCTCATCCATGTTCTTTAAGTAGCAAAATAGTATCAAATTTAAAACTGTGGAATATCCTAGATGACCCTTGCTGTGCTCTGTCTGGGATAAGCTGGTTATAAATAAGAACACAAACTAGGAGTAGGCCATTCAGCCCCTCGAGCTTACTCCATTTAAGACAATTGTGGCTGATCTCCTCATCCTAGCGTCAGCTTCACCTTTCTGCTTGCTCCTCATAACCCTTCAATCCATTACTAATTAAAATGATGAATCTATCTCCTCCTTAAATGTACACAATGTCCTGGTGTCTATTGCACTTTGGTGTAGTGAACTCCACAGATTCATGATTCTTTGAAATAATTGCTGTGTTGAGAGGTGAGTGAGGAGAAATGGTGTGATAAAAACGGAAAGAAATGCGGATGCTGTAAATCAGAGACAAAAACAGAAGTTGCTGGATAAAGTCAGCAGGTCTGGCAGCATCTATGGAGACCGATCACGGTTAAATGTGTGATGTTGTTAGCTCATGGCCGTCCTTTTTCAAAGAGTCTACCAAAAGCAAAGAGTCATCAAAGTCTACAGCACAGAAAAAGACATTGAGTCTGTGCTGGTCAAAAGCACCCACTAACTATTCTAATCCCATTTTTCCAGCACTTGGCCCATAGCCTTGTATGCTTTGGCATCACAAGTGCACATCGAAATATTACTTCAATGTTTTGAGGGTTTTTGTCTGTACCACCCTTACAGGCAGTGAGTTCCAGATTCCTAACATCGTCTGTGTGAAGATGTTTTTCCTCACATCCCCTGAAAGTACTGCACAGAGGCTGGTATCCTGTCACCAAGTCACCTTTTATTTACACGTACTCAGTATGTGGGCTCTGACCCAGCTAGACCAGAGCCAGTCACTGGGGTGAAGAGAATGCCTGAATCTCCTGTTTATATCTGTCAGCCAGGGCTCCCTGATTGGCCCAGATAAACAGCCCCAATCAGGGAACTCATACTCAATGAGATCCACTTGGCCAACCTCATTCCAATTATTACATCCTTTAAATCCATTGCCCCTTAAATCTATGTCCCCCAGTCATTGATCCCTCCATCAAGGGGAAAGATTTTTTTCCAGTCTACCGTATCTGTACCCCTCATACTTTTGTACTTTTACTGTAAATACTAAAGGCTCAGTGATAGGATGGAATATTTCAGATCGTCTTTGGGTTCTGAACATTTATCAGATTTGAGGGTAAAACCTTCATGTAAAAGTTTGTACAGGAGGAGTCTGAGATAACAAGGTGTAGAGCTGGATGAACACGGCAGGTCAACCAGCATCAGAGGAGCAGGAAAGCTGACATTTCGGGGAAGAAGGGTGCAGACCCGAAACATCAGCCTTCCTGCTCCTCTGATGCTGCCTGGCCTGCCGTGTTCATCCAGCTCTACACCTTGTTATCTCAGATTCTCCAGCTTTGGCAGTTCCTACTATCTCTGTACAGGAGGAGCGCCTAGTTTTACAACAGCCTTCAGTTTAATCTCACATGCTGCTCTTAATTGATAAATGTTGCCTTGTATGGACCCCATAAGCACTGCACACGGCCTAAGCATCTTGTGCCCGTTTCACCAGTTATGTAGCTGCTGTGGATTTATGACAATCTGGCTAACAATTAACTAATCATGGGCTGATTTAATAGATGTTTTTAAAATTCCATTAGATTCCAGTGATGTAGTGATTCCATTATTGAACTAATGGTCCAGAGACCTGGAGTGTTAATCGAAGGAACACACATGTTAGGAGCAGGAGTGCTTGGTCCATCAAGCCTGCTGCACTACTTAATACAATCATGGCCGATTTGATCAATCCCCATTCCACCTTCCTCCGATAACCTTTCATCCCCTTTGCTTTATAAAGAATCCATTTAACTCTGTCTTAAAAATATTCAAAAACTCTGCTTCCATTGCCTTTCGAAGAATCAAATAGTGCTGAGAATGAAATGAATCCCTCCCGAGGCATTTTGAAAATTTGAATTTGGTTTTAAAAGTCTGTAAGTAGAAAGCTGATGGCATTTTTAAAAAAAAAGAAACATCAGCAACTTAGAGGCTGTCAGACGGTTGTAGAAACCCAAAGAGTAAATATTCCCTATACACAGTTCTGAGGAAGGGTCACCGGACCCGAAACGTTAACTCTGATTTTTCCTTCACAGGTGCTGCCAGATCTGCTGAGCTTTTCCAGCAACTTTGTTTTTGTTCCTGAGTAAATATTCCACTTGTGCAGGTTGGGGCCCCTTTGAGAGTCCAAACCTATGCCAAAGTGATTAATTCTTCACATCTTTCTGAAATGCCTACAAAGGTTCTGGTGGTTCTGTTTACCCGGAGCACTGATTTTGATGAAACTCCATAGGAACCCAATGTTACAAGGTCTTCCAAAAGCTCCCAGCACAAAACACCAGTTTCCCATGTTAATGTATTCCAACAGACGTTGGAAGGTTCATGCGTCAGAAGAAAGAACTGTCAAACATGATGTTTGTTTATTCAAGGTCTTCACTTTGTGTGTCACTCATCAATATTGTCAAATCACTATGACTTAATCCGAGGCTTGGTTTGAGTCATGTGCATATTCTTGAAGACAACAGTTGCAGGATAAAATGAGCTGATTTCTTGATCACTTTGATAAATTGTTCCTCTGAATTGTATATTGCAGGAAATTGATGGGAAGGCATTGCTTTTGTTACGGAGTGACATGGTGATGAAATATATGGGACTGAAGCTGGGGCCAGCCTTGAAGATATGCTACCACATTGACAGACTGAAGCAGGGAAAATTCTGATTTTGAACTCATCGTATCGGAACGTACTCAGTAACTACTAAACTTCCAGAACGAGCCATTTGCCCGGCCCCTAATGAAAGGAGCACATTAATGGGGATTTACTCACTTCTGGCTCAGCATTCAAATGCTGTGTGTCTTTCAGCAAAACCGTGATACCAGCGAAACAGGATTTTTTTCAGTGCTTTGAATCACCAGTGAGAGGAAAATCTTTGGACTTATACATTTGTTATGTAAAGGCTGCAGCCCACAATGAAATGTAGCCGCTCTGAATTTTCAGTATTGGTTAGGAGAAGTCGCTATCCACCTGGCGTGAAACATTTTAAGAAAATGCTCTGGATATTGCTGTTGTGTAGCAGTTTTATTTCATTTTACAAGATTCTTTCAGTTATGCATTACTTATTCCTCTTTACAGTGGGACCGGCTGTATGTTATACAAGCATTTCACTGTGATTGGCATCTGCTAGTGACCAAGAATCACTTTATGCTATTTGGCTGTGTCTCTCATGTATTTTAAGTGCTGGAAGGAGTTAGTCAGACTCAAAAGCAGTGATGAAGCAATGCCTTTTATTTTTCTTCAGTTTGCTCCAAACAGAGAAGAAAATTTTAAAAGTAAGTTAAAGGAATTTTTTTATATTCTATAAATCAAGCCTCTAAACCAAGACTCTGAGGAGAAAAATAGGGAAGGTGGTGTAATTCCTTTAATGATGGAAAAAGTCAGTATTCTTTTTGTAGCAAGAATCTAATTTCTGTACGACAACACTATGTACAGTCCTTTTTTCTTTTGCTAATACACTTGCTTTATTTTATTGTTTCTTCATTTTTGTTACCAAGTCTGAAATTTTGTACAAGATGTTATTTAGCAGAATTGAACATGTGGCATTTGTGGTTTCTAAACTTTTACATATGGCAAACGTCCGATTGGAGTCATTAATAATGCAAACTAAGTCAATCTGAGGAAATTCATAATTTAAATGGCCTTTTTTTGAAAGAAAGATCTATGCTTTGCCAATTCCTCACTGTCATCCACCTCCCCTTCACTCCCCACCATCTGAAGATGATTGCTGGGATACAGTTTCTATGGGTGCTGGTCACTCTCTGCTCCTTCACCTCCCAGCCATTTATGACGTTAGCAGGCAGTTTAACTTTTGGGGATGTTACATTGAAGCTCAACTCTGTATTCACCCATGTACCCTTTCCAGGAGATGCCAGTTTATAATCGAGAATTGGAACGCTGACTTCCCTTCACCCTCCAAGCCCAGAGTACCAAAAGCCTATTGCAAAATAGAGATCACCACCCACGCTGAGATGGGTTTATCCTACACACATTGGAATTCATTGCTGGGATCTGCTTCTTTGTGTATGTTACAGACCAACTGGATTATTGGGGAAAACAGATTTAACTGTTGTAAGTTTGTAATTATATGACTATTCCAATATTGTGCAGATTGTACCCCTGAGGGAAAAATCAGTAATGCTTGGAAATGAACATGCTGTTTGTACTGAAATAAAAGGAAAATGTTAACTGTTGCTGGAAATCTTAAATAAAAACAGAAATTGCCGGAGAAACTCAGTAGGTTTGGCAGCATTTGTGGAGAGAGAAACAGAGTTAACATTCCGAGTCCAAGTTTTGAATTCAAAATTGAAGAAGAGTCTAAAGACTCATATTGTATTTGAAAAGTCAGCTCTGTTTCTCGCTCTAGATGCTGCCAGACCTGCTGAGTTTCTCCACTAATTTCTGCTTTTATTACTGGTCATACGGGTCCTAGACTGAAGTACACAAGGCCAGGTTGGCTCATTTACCAGTTTTACAGGTTTTTCTTTCTGGGACAGGAACAGGCCATTCAGCCCATCTGGTCAGTGTCTAACAGTTCACACAAGTCTCTGCCCATCCCTCCTCATTGTAACTCATCAGTCTGTCTTCTATTGCTTTCTCCCTCATGTGTTTATCCAGCTTCCCCTTAAACACATCCATGCTATTTGCCTCAATTTCTCTGTGGCCTGGATTAAATGCTCCCTTCTGGCTGTGAGGTTTGAAGGTTGAGTGGGGACAAATTCGGAGGTTGGAGGTACTAGATACTGCAAAGACAATATTCTGGCAATAATATTGAAGACTTGTGCTCCACATCTTGCCACACCTCCACTCACCTGTTCCTGTGCAGCTACACTATCTACAGACAATGTGGAAAATTGCCCAGGGATGTCTTGTACACAAAAAGCAGGACAAATCCACCCTAGCCACTGCCAATCGTCTTCCCTCGATCATTAGTAAAGTGATGTCATCAACAGTGCTATCAAATAGCACTTACTTAGCAATAACCTGCTTACTAATGCCAGGGCCACTCCACTCCTGACTTCGTTGCAGCCTTTGTTCAAACAAGAACAGAAGAGCTGAATTCCAGAGGTGGGGTGAGAATGAAGCCCTGATATCAAGGCTACATCTGATGGAGTGTAGCATCCAGGAGCCCTAGAAAAACTGGAATCAATGGGTATTAAGGGGAAAACTCTGTGCTGGTTGGAGTCATGCCTGGCATATAGGAAGATGATTGTGGTTGTTGGAAGTCAGTCGTCTCAGCTTCAGGACGACTCTGCAGGAGTTCCTCAGGGTAGTATCCTCGGCCCAACCATCTTCAGCTACTTCATCAATTACCTTCTCTCCATCATAACGTCAGAAGTTGAGACGTTCACTGATGATTGCACAATATTCAGCACCATTAGCGACTCCTAACAGTATCCAGGCTTGGGCTGACCAGTGGCAAGTAACGTTCATGCCACATAAATGCCAAGCGATGACCAACTTCAAGAAGAGAGAATCTAACCATCATCCCTTGACAGTCAATAACATCTCCATCACTGAATCCTCCAATGTCAACATCACAGGGGAGGGGAGTCGGGGGAGGTTACTATTGACCAAAAACTGCATTGGACTCGCCATATCAATGCAGTGGCTTCGAGAGCAAGTCAGAGGTTGGGATTCCTGTAGCAAGTAACTCACCTTATTACTCCCCAAAGCCAGCCTACTATGTACAAGGCTCAAGGAGGAGTGTTATTGAATACTTCCCATTTGCCTGATTAAAGGCAGCTTCAACAACACACAAGAAGTTTGATACCATCCACAACAAAGCAACTCATTTGATTGGCACCATATCCATAAACATCGACCCCCTCCGCCACCAATGCTCAGTACCAGTAGTGTATATCATCCACAAGCTACACTTCAGAAATTTACCAAAGCTTCTCACACAGCACCTTCCAAACCAATGATCACTTCCATCTAGAAGGACAAGGTTAGAAGACACATGGGAACACCACCCCCTGCAAGATCCCCTCCAAACCACTCACCATCCTGACTTGGAAACATATTGCCGTACCTTCACTGTCGCTGGGTCAGAATCCTGTAACTCCCTCCCAAAGGGTATTTTCGGTGTCTTTATACCGCACAGATGCAGCGGTTCAAGTAGATAGCTCACCACCATCTTCTAAAGGGCAACAAGGGATGGGCAATAACCAGCGATGCCCATATCCAAAGACAAACTGTAAAAATAAAACCTGTTTTACCAGCTGTAGGGAATCAGGCATGCCACCCATTGATGGTGCAATTAAGGTCCTCATTTGGCCGGCTAATGCCCACTTATGGGCCTCATCCTGCCACTGACCAATAGTGGAAGAGGCTTCTGCCAAACATTCAGTACAGCAGCTTTCCCTACACTATTGACTGTGAATAACTGACTGAAGTTCTTTAATGACAGCAAGATTCTGGAAGTTCTGGCATTCTGCTTTCTGTGCAGTTTGCCAAATGCTGTCTAGCAGATTGGATCTCTCTTTAAAAGGCCTCAAACCCGATCCCATTGGAGGATGTCCCCTACCCAGATATACCTGGATAGGTTCCTCTTTGTCACACTCCAACCCTCAATGGTTTCTCCAACATCGGCCCCTCCATTCCTACTTTCCCATCTTTCTTGGAGGTCAACCAGCTAAGCCCCAACAAGACCTCTTCACTGGCTGCTGTGTTGGGAGCAGGTCCTCCTACAGCTGAAGTGACCCTTCAACTTAATGAACAGCCTAACCTGCCACTGTTCTGTAGACCAGCCCTTAGGGAGGTTTGAGTGGTGGTGGTGGTGGTGTGGGGGGTGTAGGTGGGGAGTGTCGGTGGGGTCCTATTGAATCCAACTCCATTTGGCTGTGTGTTGCAGCACCTAATTACCAGAGGAAAACAAAGGGCTTGTTTTTAAATCATCAACTTAATAACTTGAACACCATTCAGAATGGGAGAAGGTTGTTTATGTTCCAGTTTGTTGCTGAAGTGTGTTCATTGAGCAATGTAACAAAGGCTGATTACATGAGGGAGGTGTTTGACACTCCACTGCTGGTTTGTTTAGCTGCTACTTCCTCCCCCGCCTCGACAAGAAAAGAAAGTCTCCTCCACAACACGGCAGAACAGCATTGACCACAATAAGTTCTGATGCAGCGGTAGGAATGACATATCAAATACTGATGTGGAGGTGCTAGTGTTGGACTGGGGTGGGGAAAGTCTGAAGTCACACGACACCAGGTTATAGTGAAATTAAAAGCTTTCGGAGCACTGCTCCTTTGTCAGGTGAACGCTCTGAAAGCTTTTGATTTATCATAAAACTGTTGGGCTATAATCTGATGTCGTGTGACTTCTGACTATATCAAATCCTGATCAATGAATAGCCACCACCTTTGAAGGGAAACAGAATTTTAAGAAGAAACAGAAATAATTTATACTGTATGTAATCTTCAATAAGGTTTTTGCCTCCAATCACTCACCGTGTATAAAATGTGAGTTTGGTTGTTTACATTATTACCTGTAGTTTAGTTTATCCATCTCCTTTGTCCCTCCTCCCCCATTTTATTCCTGTTTTATGAAGTAACTGATCAAAGATCTGAAACTAATTAAATGTTGTGTTTCATTTGACCAGAGACAGTTCAGAGTCAGCATTTTCTGTAATCTGATAGCTCAAATGTCTGGAGAGAAATGGTTCAGGAAGCCTTGCATGGGGAATAAGTTCTATACTTGGCATTGGAGGGATACATGGTTAATTTCTTGTCTTATTTTTAAGGCCATTTGTTGTAGAAATCATTCCTATTCAGGCTATACCCAATGAAAGGTGTTAATAAAGATGATGCTGTTCATTGACCAATTGTCATACAAGTAGATGGTGACTTTCACACTTTATTACAGAACCTTTATTCTCTCCCTCCCTGTTATCTACAAGTGGGTAAATTTCCCAGTGAGCTGTTAACACCTTGAAAACCTGCAACATTCTGACTCTATCAAATGCCAATTGAGAACAAATGTCACCTCAGGAAAGAGTTAGCTCAAGTATGTCCAGATAATCCATCACACGTGGCCAAAAATATTGTCAATGAGTTTTTTCTTAAATGTATTCATGGAATGTGGACGTCACTGGGTGGGCCCTAATGACCACTGGAAGAAGGAACAGTCCTTAAAACAATCCTCTTAAATTTGGACACAAGTGCATAACATAATGGAAGTATTAACATCAGTGTTAAATTCCTTTTTTGAAAAAACTGCATGACAAAACATTTGGTTTTAGCACACCAGTGTAAACCTGGGGGTATAGTTAATCTCAATGATTATCCCAAATTTCTGGATAAATTCATAGCACTACATTGCCTGACTCACCATAGCGGGTTTGATTTGTACCAAAGTGTGTTTTCTTTTGTTACAATGTGATATAAGAACAACCAGGAGGATCTAATAAGTGTTTTGCCTTGATTGCCAATCAGAGAGATTTCTTTCTGACTAATTATGAGCTGTAACAACCAACAAAAAGCTATTAAAAGACTGAATATCGTTGCTGCCATTATGAGCTGTAACAACCAACAAAAAGCTATTAAAAGACTGAATATCATTGCTGCCATTTAGTGATAGTGTCATTATCCACCAAATATGATAAACTGCTCAGAAAGCCTTCAGGCATTAAATCAGTCTGTGCACTGAAGCTTATTTCCTGGAAACCTTTTAAAACCAGAAGCCCAGGGTAAAACAATAAGCTATTGACTGTGTAGAACTGAGGTTCTTTAAGGACAGAATGATTGTAAAAGTTGTTGGTTGTGCAGTTTGACAAACACTGTCTGTGGTAGAACACTAACCCTGGAGCGAAGTATCACATTCTCTTGGTCTTACAGCAGCCCCCAGTATGTAGTGCTCCAGTCAGGCATGGCTACCAACGTGATGCACTTGGTTTAACAAAAATGTCAGTTTGTACATTGAATATCAGTACATGAAATAAACCAGTAATTTATTGTAAAACCTGCTGTTGACATTCTTCCATACTCTTATTCACCATTTTCACCAGTCACAGTGTATTATTTCTGGGTGTTTATCAATTCTTGCAAGCAAGCATATTTCCTCAGTGATCTGAAACAAGGGCTAACGAGCAGGATGATGATCACATATCAGTTAGCTGCTCTCCTTGCCAAATATCTATGCTTAATGTACTTTCCTACTTGGAACTCTAGATAGCCATCAGGCAC